CACTTGTGCTCCTTACTGTGCCAACTTGCTGTGATTTAGCTACCCGGTGCTCCGCTCGTTGTTGTGAGCATCGCTCTTCTGCCCTCCGTTGGAGGGCGACTGCTTCCAACTGCCCAGTAGTAGCGTCCTTCACGAGCCTCCTCCACGGAGACTGATCTTGACACCGCTTGTACCAGTCATCGGCAAGTCCACTCAGCTCCACGTCCTCCTGTACCACATCACTCCATCTCTTCTCTAGCCCGTGCCGCGCCCGTTTAGCCCCCTCTATCGGGCCAAACAAAAGCTGTTTCGGCATGCGGTGGCTGGGCATGCGGGCTACATGACCCAGCCAACGCAGCCTTGCCTGCCGGAGGAGCTCACTGATAGGACTTTGTCCAAATCTTTCAAGGATTTGTGAGCTCCTCACACAATCCAGTCTGGTTAAACCCAGGATGGATCGTAGGCAGGCCAGCCTAAATGTTTCTAACCAGCGAAGATGTTCCATTAGGGGGGTCCACGTTTCGCAAGCGTAGAGAAGGGAGGGAATGACCGTGGCCAAGAAGACCTGAAGCTTAGTGCGGAGCGACAGACCAGGTAGCTTCCACACAGCGTTATGCAACCGATGAAAAGATAATGCCCCTCGACTGATTCGTAGTGAGACCTCTGCTGTCAAACCAGCGCCACCACCACCAGCACCACCATCAGCACCACGTGTCTTGTAGTGGTCACCACTTGCGGTGGCTAGGAGATGTTGACTACCTCGCCTGGTACACAGGAGGTCGTGGGTTAGATCCTGACCCTGACGATGCCTGCTGCTGCTGTTGTATAGTTGGAATCTGCGTCTCTCTCCCCGTGGTCACTTGAATTTTGTCTCCGGGTCCTTCGACTTTTTCCCCTCCACATTTAGAATCAACATCACCACCACGCGTTGAGAGTTATTTAGCTGCTGCTGTAAATCTCCACGCGTTGATGACGATGAGCAACTTCGTTGGGCGAGGCCAGGTCAGGGCTAATCGTTCAGTGGGGTCTTACCTGGTCACAATAAATGGAAGTTCTCCCTCTCTCTTTCCCTTTCTCCACCTCCCCATGACTCCCCTTCACTTCTCTCGCTTCTCCCACTGTCCAACTCCTCACGCACGTCCTCGTCATCCGCCTCATCCACCTCATCCACCATCACCACCTCGTCCACCATCACCACCTCGTCCACCATCACCACCTCGTCCACCATCACCACCTCGTCCACCATCACCTCGTCCATCACCACCTCATCCACCATCACCTCGTCCACCACCACCTCGTCCACCATCACCACCTCGTCCACCATCACCACCTCATCCACCATCACCTCGTCCACCATCACCACCTCGTCCACCACCACCTCGTCCACCACCACCTCGTCCACCATCACCTCGTTCACCATCACCACCTCGTCCACCACCTCATCCACCACCACCACCCCGTCCACCACCACCTCGTCCACCATCACCTCGTCCACCATCACCACCTCGTCCACCATCACCACCTCGTCCACCATCACCCCCTCGTCCACCATCACCTCGTCCACCATCACCTCGTCCACCATCACCACCTCGTCCACCATCACCTCGTCCACCATCACCTCGTCCACCACCACCTCGTCCACCATCACCTCGTCCACCATCACCACCTCGTCCACCATCACCTCGTCCACCATCACCTCGTCCACCACCACCTCGTCCACCATCACCTCATCCACCATCACCACCTTGTCCACCATCACCACCTTGTCCACCATCACCACCCCGTCCACCATCACCTCGTCCACCATCACCACCTCGTCCACCATCACCACCTCGTCCACCATCACCACCTCGTCCACCATTACCACCTCGTCCACCATTACCACCTCGTCCACCATCACCTCGTCCACCATTACCACCTCGTCCACCATCACCACCTCGTCCACCACCACCACCCCGTCCACCATCACCTCGTCCACCATCACCTCGTCCACCACCACCTCGTCCACCATCACCTCATCCACCATCACCACCTTGTCCACCATCACCACCTTGTCCACCATCACCACCCCGTCCACCATCACCTCGTCCACCATCACCACCTCGTCCACCATCACCACCTCGTCCACCATTACCACCTCGTCCACCATCACCACCTCGTCCACCTCCTCGCCCCTGCCGGCAGCTCGTACGTGAACCGGGTGGAGGCGCGGGTGGCAGCACATCTCATCAGCTTCATGCTGTCGCGTCCGGAGGATCGCTGGCTGGGAGTCATCACCCCCTACCTGGCCCAGAAGCACCTCATGGCGAAGATGCTGGCCGACAGCCTCGGAGGAAGAGCCAGGTAGCGCCGGCGAGATGTGAACTCCCTCGCCATGGAGAGGTTCTTTCTCCCTCGCGTGGTGTGCAGGAGGCCGTGGGTTCGATCTTCGAGCCTGAAGATACCTGCTGCTGTATATTTGGAATTTGCGTGTCTCTCTCTCTCATCATCATCATCAGCAGCACGGTGGCTGGGGAATGTTAACTACCTTGCCGGGTATGCAGTAGACTCTGCGCCCCAGTCGCCGACCTGCTGGGTCTCATCGGCAGAGCCAGGCCTCTTCTTTGGTTCTTTCGGTAAAGTCACTACCACGTAGAATGAGAATAAAATAATAACTTGATAAAATAAAATAACACAATAATATTCTCACGACGTTTCTGCCACAACACAAGTGGCCTTCATCAGGTGAAGGGGACGAGACTGCCTGGAGGACAGCGCTGGAGTGAGAAAGCCACGCTGAGATCACGACCTTTAAGCTGTGTGAGAAGAAACAAAGCGCCTTGACAAAGGAATTAGCATAGAATTTAGCATTGAAATGGCTGAGTGATTAGCTTGTGACTGGTCACAGAAATGGCTATGTTAAAGTTAAAACATACACATCCACAGAGGCACCCCTTGACAAAGGAATTAGCATAGAATTCTAAAAAAGGAATTAGCATAGAATTCTATGCTAATTCCTTTGTCAAGGCGCTTTGTTTCTTCTCACACAGCTTAAAGGTGGCGATCTGAGCTTGGCTGTGTTCGCTCCAGCGCTGTCCTCCAGACAGTCTCGTCCCCTTCACCTGATGAAGGCCCGCTTGTGTTGTGGCCCGAAACGCCGTGAGAATTTTACCGCGTTACTTTACTTTATCAATTTATTATTTTATTCCCATTCTACGTGGTGGTGACTTTACCGAAAGAACCAAAGAAGATGAACCCTTGCGGCCACGAAGGCTTTAAATCGAGAGTCAGGCCTGTTGACCACGTGCAGCCTAGTTGCCAGATTGCTACGGGCAAGATCAATTTGACCCCGGTTAAGAGCGGGGGAAACGCCCGCCGTTGTAACGTGGTACAATGCGCACCGTGAACCGTTACCGCACGCACCGCTGCAACCACGTTATGGCGTGCTTGGCCGTGTTGTCCCCCGGCGCAGGCACGTGGACGTGAACACGGTGGAGGGATTCCAGGGCCAGGAGCGTGACTACATCGTGGTGACGTGCGTGCGCGCGCACAGCTCCTCCGCCAGGGGAATCGGGTACGGAATCTCGGCCCGCAGGCGGCACGCGCGTCTCCCCGGGATGCCCGCAGATCCTCGCGGATTAGGTCACAGATGTTGTACGTCCGTGCGTGCGTGCGTGTGTCATGGGGAGCGGTGGTGTAGCGGTTAGCGCTACGCTGCGCTATGAACCCGGCGACCCGGGTTCGATTCCCGCTCACGGCCAACGCCAACAGTGACGATTATCTGAACCGGTCCCGGGCCTCCCCTAGGTCGACTCGGCCTCAAATGAGTACCTGGTGCGGTGTTTAGTCAACATCGCCACTGGGGAGACAAAGGCGGTCGGGCGTGGTGCTGGCCACACACCCCTTCGTGTGCCGTTCCGGCCTTCATAGGTGCTCGCCAACGGCACTTGCCCCTACAGCCTGTTAAGGCTACACGGGGGATCAAAATGCACCTGGCCTGGCAATGGCGCCGTGGTGACGTCACCGCCACCTAGTGGCAAATGGCGGCTGTTGTTGTGTGTGTGCGCGCGCCAACAGATTTCTGGCGGATCGCAAGCGTCTAAATGTGGCGCTCACGCGCGCCAAGTACTCGCTCATCATCGTGGGCCACCTCCGAACACTCCAGGCAAGTTGTCGGTTCCTCGAGACGCGCGTTGCGTGTGCGTGCGTGTGTATGGTATTAGTGTGTGTGTGATGTTAGTGTTTATGTGTGTGTGATGTTAGTGTGTGTGCATCTAAAATATCTGATTAATAAGCTGGTGCCGGAGGCCCCACGGGGGGGACAGGCGTCTATGACGTCTCCTGGCCAAACCCCATTTGGCGGAGCCAGGAGATTGAATCTTTACCCTCGGGGCTCCTCCAGAAACGACAAAAAGCCACTTCGTGTGGCCACGTGGAATGTTCGCTCACTGCTGAGAAGAGGCTGCCACTCCTCTGTCGGGAGCTGGACCGGTCCCGCCTGGATCTCTGTGCCATTCAGGAGGCCCGGTGGACCGGCTCTGGCTACTGCCACCATGAGAGGTGGACAGTCATCTACTCGGGGCAGGAGACTGCCAAACAACAGGGAGTGGCTCTTCTTCTGAACAAAAGAATGAAGGGGGGGGGCGTGGGAGCGTGGCGGTGAGGTGTGGAAAGCTGTAAGCCTCAGGCTACTTCCCATCAACCGGAGGCCAGGAGTGGTGGTCGTGGTGACTTATGCCCCCACCGAAGACGAACATCCGTGGAGGGATGCATGCAAGGCCGATGAGTCAGATGCCTTCTATTACCTCCTGTCACAGGTGCTGGCTAAAGTTGCCCCTCGGGATAGAGTCATCTGGTTGGGTGACTTCAATGCCCGAGTTGGTCATGATAATGGCACCTGGTCTTGAGTGATTGGAAGGCATAGGCCAGATCAGCTCAATAACAACGGTAGGAGGCTGCTGGATTTTCGTGCAGCCCATGGGCTTGTAATTACCAACACGCTGTTCAGGCATTGGCGCATCCACACAACATCATGGGTGCATGCCGGGTCCAAGCAAGAACATCTAGGCCAGATCAGCTCAATAACAACGGTAGGAGGCTGCTAGATTTTTGTGCAGGCCATGGGCTTGTAATTACCAACACGCTGTTCAGGCATTGGCGCATCCACACAACATCATGGGTGCATGCCGGGTCCAAGCAAGAACATCTGCCGGACTACAAAGTGACGGATCAGCGGATGCGGGCCCATGTCCTTGACACCAGGACCTACCGTGGAGCTGATCTGCCCTCTGACCATCGACTTGTCATCTGTAAGATGCGCCTGCCATTCTTCCACTCCGGTGGTGGGTGTACACCCAGGACCCCATTCCAACCTAAGGTGGCCTGGTCTCAGTTATCTGATGAAAGTTGCAAGCGAGAATTTCATCATCGCTTGCGGCTGGCATTGGCATCGTCCCCCACTCCTCCTGATGTCGAGGGTAAATGGGCGAGGTTTAGGACTGCGACTCATGCAGATGCAATGGCTGCTTTGGGTACGCGGTCCAGACCTCCCCGGAGACCCTGGCTGACAGAGAAGGTGTTGAGGATGGTTGAGAAAAAGCGACAGGCCCACTGTCACAGGCTACAGAATCCCACGTTAGAGAATGAGGCGGCTTACCGCAGCCTTCGCTCTGAGGTTCGGAGAGCCGTGAGGTGCTGCAAGGATGGGTGGTGGTCGCAGGTTGCTGTGAAGATGGAGTCTGTCTCAATGGCCCGCGATCACAAATCCCTATTTACCTCCATAAAAAAAGTTACCTGCAGCGCCACACCTATAACCATCATTAGGGGAAAAAACGGTGATCCAATCTCCGACCCCCAGGAACAGGTTTGCAGATTTGCTGAGCATTTCTGTGAAGTCCTGGGGGAGGGGAAATCCCTCGACATGGGAAACATCGTGGAGCAAAGTGAGGATGACCCTGCGGAGGCTGCGGTGCCCCAAATATTTTAAGTCACCCCCTGTAAGTGACTGGCTGAGGTGCCATCTGTTGAGGAAGTACTAAAGGCGATCCAGAGTCTGAGACCAGGAAAGGCACCGGGCAGAGATGATCTCCCAAACGAAATACTCAGAGGAGGAGTTGGAGGCGCTGCTGCTAAACCTGGAGCTTGCCACTAAGAGGTGGGGCCTTACTATCAGCCCCACCAAAACTAAGCACCTGCCAGGGTATTTTGTACCATCGGACACTCCACCCCCACAACTCCCAATTGGTGATGGGGCAGTTGTGGAGAGAGTGGAGAGTTTCCCATATCTGGGCAGAGTGCTTATGACCGGCTCCGGTTTAACAGCAGAGGTCTCACTCCGAATCAGTCGAGCAGCAATATCTTTTCATCAGTTGCGTAACGCTATGTGGAAGCTACCTGGTCTGTCGCTCCGCACTAAGCTTCAGATCTTCTCGGCCACAGTCATTCCCTCCCTTCTCTACGCTTGTGAAACGTGGACCCCCCTAATGGAACATCTTCGCCGGTTAGAAACATTTAGGCTGGCCTGCCTATGATCCATCTTGGGTTTAACCAGGCTGGATTGTATGAGGAGCTCACAAATGTTTGAAAGATCTAGACAAAGTCCCATTGGTGAGCTCCAGCAGGCAAGGCTGCGTTGGCTGGGCCATGTAGCCCGCATGCCAAGTCACCGCATTCCTAAACAGCTTTTGTTTGTCCTGGATAGAGGGGGCTAAACAGGCGCGGCACGGGCTAGAGAAGAGATGGAGTGATCTGGTAAAGGAGTATGTGGAGCTGAGTGGACTTGCCGATGACTGGTACCAGCGGTGTCAAGATCGCCCTCTGTGGAGGGGGCTCGTGAAGGACGCTGCTGGGCAGTTGGAGTCAGTCGCCCTCCATCAACAATGGAGGGCGGAGGAGCGACGCTCAGAACAACGAGCGGAGCGCCGGGTGGCTAAAGCACAGCAGGTTGGCACAGTAGGGGGCACAGGTGGTGCATCAGCCAGTCATCTCAGTCAGTCGACCCGTGGCACTTGGGTCTGCCCCGTGACCTCCTGCCAGCGGGCATTCGACACTTCACGTGGCCTCAAGGTGCACATAGCCTGGCACAAGCGTCGTGGTGACGTCACCGCCACTTAGTGGCGAATGGCGGTTGTTGATGTTAGTGTGTGCGTGGTGTGTGTGTATGTATGTGTCAACTCAGCCTCAAATGAGTACCTGGTGCTGTGTGTAGTAAACGTCATTACTGGGGAGACAAAGACATCCGGGCGTGGTGCTGGCCTCTCACCCCCTCTTGTGCCGTGCCGGCCTTCATAGATGCTACTCACTAACAGCACTTGCCCCAAAAGTCTGCTAAAGCTATACGGGAGATCTGTGTTATCTTTCGTGTAAGTGCTGCAGATGTAGATGCCACTGGTTCTTCCCGTTCTGCAGATGTAGATGCCACTGGTTCTTCACGTTCTGCAGATGTAGATGCCACTGGTTCTTCACGTTCTGCAGATGTGGATGCCACTGGTTCTTCACGTTCTGCAGATGTAGATGCCACTGGTTCTTCACGTTCTGCAGATGTAGATGCCACTGGTTCTTCACGTTCTGCAGATGTAGATGCCACTGGTTCTTCACGTTCTGCAGATGTGGATGCCACTGGTTCTTCACGTTCAGTGGATGTAGATGCCACTGGTTACTCACGTTCTGCAGAAGTAGATGCCACTGGTTCTTCACGTTCTGCAGATGTAGATGCCACTGGTTCTTCACGTTCTGTAGATGTAGATTCCACTGGTTCTTCACGTTCTGCAGATGTAGATGCCACTGGTTCTTCACGTTCTGCAGATGTAGATGCCACTGGTTCTTCACGTTCTGTAGATGTAGATGCCACTGGTTCTTCACGTTCTGCAGAAGTAGATGCCACTGGTTCTTCACGTTCAGCAGATGTAGATGCCACTGGTTCTTCACGTTCTGCAGATGTAGATGCCACCACCGCCATCTATTGCACGGCTGTTGAACTTACGACTCTCGGTCCGAACAGGCAACTGGACATACTGACCGGGTTTGCAGTACGTAAGTTGAGTAGTCGTAAGTAGCGGAGTCCCCACACACGTTTTAGTTCAACGAGCTGAATTTGGCTATCCAGACCCCCCCCCCCCCCCCCCGGGCCCCCACCATCCCTAACCCCCCACCCCTTTGCCCGGCGTCTGAACGTAACCCCCGACGACCGCCGCAGGTTATCGAGGACTGGAAGAGCCTCATCAGCAACGCCCACTCGCGGGGCGCCATCGTGAGCACCACCGAACGCGACTTCGAGCACGACCTCCGCAGGGTCATGAAGCCGGCGGCGGCGGCGGCGGCGGCGGCACCCAAGCACCCGCGACAACAGCCCCTGCTTCCGCCGCTTCCGCCGCTTCCGCTTCCGCCGCTTCCGCCGCTTCCTCCCGACGAACCCTGGCACGAGCGGAATGTCGTCATCAGGCGCCGCTGTTCCGCCGACGACGCCGGGAGGCTCTCCACCTCGTCGGCGCCGCCCTGCAGCATCCTCAAAGCCAGCTGCGGTGGCAGCGGCACCAAGCAGCCGTTCCGATCGGTGCGCTTCAACATCCCGCCAACTTCCACCGCCGCCGCCGCCGCTTTGCTGGGATTGCCGCTCCCACCGGCAGTCGGGGAGCGGACGGAGCGTGGGGGCGGCGGCGGGGGCGGCGGTAGGGGCGGTAGGGGCGGTAGGGGCGGCGGCAGGGGCGGAGGGGGCGGTAGGGGAGGCTCCACCCCGCCGTAGCCGAGCAACAAGCGCGGTGGACGCTTTTGTTTTTGGGCGCCCAAAATCGCGCTGCGGGCGGGCACGCACGTTGAAGGACGAAAACAACAGCGGCGGCAAGCAGTCCTGAAGGCGGCAGGGTGCGTTCCAGACGGCCCGCGGGAGCAGCGCGTCTGGAAGCGCCGCCGCCGCCGCGCGACGGTGATGCATGCGGTGACCGCCGTGCGAAGGCGAGCCAAAAGCCGCCGTTGCTGCTGGGAGGATGACGCCCGCCGGAATTTGCGCGGTGATGTTGGTTTTTTTATTGCTCCTCGACGAGGAGCCGGGAAGGAGGAGGGAGACGAAGGGTGAAACAGCACAGGTTGTGCCGCAGTTGTAAATACATTGGGTTGTGGCAATCAAGTTCGGTTATTGTTGCTACGGTTTGTGTTAATTTTTTTAAACGGTTTATTTTTTTGTTGGGGGCCGGGGGGGGTGGGGAGGCACTTTCAATTCCTGGTACGCGATGATGCCGAAAGATTGTCGCCTTTGTGTGCCCCTCCGCTCTTCTCGACTGGAGGTTACGTGGTGGGGTGGGCAGGGCCCGGGGTTAACGTGTCGCCGGGAGACCTTTGTCGACGTGACGTTTTACGCACGCAAGCAACGCCGAGTAAGAAAAATATATATATTTTTTTGCGAGGGTGGTGGAGGTGGGGCGGTTTTAATTTTTCACGGGAACCCCGGGGACTTCGGCTCGCGCACACGGACGGGCCGCCGACGCTCTGCTCGCATTCCTCGTTCTCATTTTGCGGAGGGAGTGCCACAACCACGGCCCGCGGTGGCTAAAAGAGGTTCACTGCCTCGCCCGGTACGCAGGAGGTGTCGTGGGTTCTGATCCCGATCCTGACGCCGCCTGTGTATTTGGAGTTTGCGTGTCTCTCCTGATCATAATCATCATCACGGTCGTTAGGAGATGTTAACTACCTCCCCCGGTATGCAGGAGGTCGTGGGTTTTGATCCCGACCCTGCCTGACGCCTGCTGCTGTATATTTGGAGTTTGCGTGTCTCTCCCCGTGGTCGCGTGGATTTTTCTGCGGGTCCTCCGGTTTTTCACCTCCATGTTTAGAATCAACGTCACCACGTGTTAAGAGTATTTGGCTGCTATAGATTTACTGATGATGATGATGATGAAAAGCCACTTTGTTGAGCTTTCATTTGTGATGGACAGGTTGCTTCTGAAAAAGAGCTATATAGCTCAGTAGGCCTTATCTGGTAAAATTAAAAAAATAGTTTAGATTTGTCTGTATGCATGTTGAACTTATTTTGCACCGTACATTGCCAACCGTGCTAATCGTAGGTGTGTGAGTGGAGTGTAAGGAATGGAGTGAGTAGAGAGTGAGTGGGGTGTAAGGAGCTGAGTGTAAGGAGTGGAGTGTAAGGAGTGAGTGGAGTGTAAGAAGTGTAGTGAGTGGAGAGTGAGTAGTGGAGTGTAAGGAGTTGAGTGAGTGGAGTGTAAGGAATTTGAGTGGAATGTAAGGAGTGAGGGTGAGTGAAGTGTTAGGAGTTGAGTGAGTGGAGTGTAAGGAGTGAGAGTGAGTGGAGTGTAAGGAGTTGAGTGAGTGGAATGTAAGGAGTGGAGAGTGAGTGAAGTGTAAAGAGTGAGAGTGAGTGAAGTGTAAGGAGTGAGTGAAGTGTAAGGAGTTGAGTGAGTGGAGTGTAAGGAGTTGAGTGAGTGGAATGTAAGGAGTTGAGTGAGTGGAATGTAAGGAGTGGAGAGTGAGTGAAGTGTAAGGAGTTGAGTGAGTGGAATCTAAGGAGTGGAGAGTGAGTGGAGTGTAAGGAGTGAGAGTGAGTGGAGTGTAAGGAGTGAGAGTGAGTGGAGTGTAAGGAGTGAGAGTGAGTGGAGTATAAGGAGTGAGAGTGAGTGGAATGTAAGGAGTGAGAGTGAGTGGAATGTAAGGAGTTGAGTAAGTGGAGTGTAAGGAGTGAGAGTGAGTGAAGTGTAAGGAGTTGAGTGAGTGGAGTGTAAGGAGTGAGAGTGAGTGGAGTGTAAGGAGTGAGAGTGAGTGAAGTGTAAGGAGTTGAGTGAGTGGAATGTAAGGAGTGAGAGTGAGTGAAGTTTAAGGAGTTGAGTGAGTGGAGTGTAAGGAGTGAGAGTGAGTGGAGTGTAAGGAGTGAGAGTGAGTGGAGTGTAAGGAGTTGAGTGAGTGGAATGTAAGGAGTGAGAGTGAGTGGAGTGTAAGGAGTGGAGTGAGTGGAGTGTAAGGAGTGGAGAGTGAGTGGAGTGTAAGGAGTTGAGTGAGTGGAGTGTAAGGAGTGAGAGTGAGTGGAGTGTAAGGAGTGAGTGTAAGGAGTTGAGTGAGTGGAGTGTAAGGAGTTGAGTGAGTGGAGTGTAAGGAGTGAGAGTGAGAAGTGTAAGGAGTTGAGTGAGTGGAATGTAAGGAGTGAGAGTGAGTGAAGTGTAAGGAGTGAGAGAGTGGAGTGTAAGGAGTGAGTGAGTGGAGTGTAAGGAGTTGAATGAGTGGAGTGTAAGGAGTGAGAGTGAGTGGAGTGTAAGGAGTTGAGTGAGTGGAATGTAAGGAGTGAGAGTGAGTGGAGTGTAAGGAGTGAGAGTGAGAAGTGTAAGGAGTTGAGTGAGTGGAATGTAAGGAGTGAGAGTGAGTGGCGTGTAAGGAGTGAGTGAAGTGTAAGGAGTTCAGTGAGTGGAGTGTAAGGAGTTGAGTGAGTGGAATGTAATGAGTGAGTGAGTGAAGTGTAAGGAGTGAGAGTGAGTGGAGTGTAAGGAGTGAGAGTGAGAAGTGTAAGGAGTTGAGTGAGTGGAATGTAAGGAGTGAGAGTGAGTGGAGTGTAAGGAGTGAGTGAAGTGTAAGGAGTTCAGTGAGTGGAGTGTAAGGAGTTGAGTGAGTGGAATGTAGTGAGTGAGTGAAGTGTAAGGAGTGAGAGTGAGTGGAGTGTAAGGAGTTGAGTGAGTGGAGTGTAATGAGTGAGTGGAATGTAAGGAGTTCAGTGAGTGAAGTGTAAGGAGTTCAGTGAGTGAAGTGTAAGGAGTTGAGTGAGTGGAGTGTAAGGAGTGAGTGAGTGGAATGTAAGGAGTTGAGTGAGTGGAGTGTAAGGAGTGAGAGTGAGTGGAGTGTAAGGAGTGAGTGAAGTGTAAGGAGTGGAGAGTGAGTGAAGTGTAAGGAGTGGAGTGTAAGGAGTGAGAGTGAGTGGAGTGTAAGGAGTTGAGAGAGTGGAATGTAAGGAGTGGAGAGTGAGTGAAGTGTAAGGAGTTGAGTGAGTGAAGTGTAAGGAGTTGAGTGAGTGGAATGTAAGGAGTTCAGTGAGTGGAATGTAAGGAGGGGAGAGTGAGTGAAGTGTAAGGAGTTGAGTGAGTGGAATGTAAGGAGTGGAGAGTGAGTGAAGTGTAAGGAGTTCAGTGAGCGGAATGTAAGGAGTGGAGAGTGAGGAGTGGAGTGAGAGTGAGCGGAGTATCTCAGAAACCATGACGTGACAGATTCTCCCACCCGTAACCGGCATGGCAGTGGAACAAGTGGATGTTACTTGCCACCTGTCTCTGGTTCGTTCACTCATTGCGGCCTCGATAAACCCCGCAAGTAGAAATCCACGACGTTTCTGCCCCGGCGGTTTCTGTGAGCCGTGTTTTGTTCCCGTGACGTCGACGCCTACGACCAGGTCCTCCCGTCACTTTGCGGCGTTGATTTTTGTTTTTGTTACCGAGCCATCGGTCATCTGCTCGTGCCGTATGAGAGTCCTAAAACCACACCCCAGAATGTGTTTCGTTTGACCCCGGCTGTAAGGCCCCTCCGCCGCTGAGCTCCCGTGGAGCTCTTCTTGTTTAGGAGCGACCTGGCAAATCACGAATGATGGCAGCTCAACGAAAGTGGCTTATCGTCATCACCACGTGGACATGGAGGGCAGCAGTGAAATGCTCTAAGCGCGTGCTGATGTCGATTCAGAATACGGAGCGCAGACTCCCAAGTATACAGCAGCAGCAGGTGTGAGGGTCGGCATTGAACCCACGACCCCCTGCATACCAGGCGAGGTAATTAACATCTCGCCACCGTGATGATGATGATGAGTGAGAGAGACACGCAAATTCCAAATGTACAGCAGCAGGCATCGTCAGGCTCTTGATGGAACCCACGACCTCCTGTAGACCAGGCGAGGTAGTCAACATCTCATAGCCCACCGTGATGATGATGAGAGAGAGACACAGACGTGCTGTAGACCAGGCGAGGTAGTTAACATCTCATAGCCACCGTGATGATGATGAGAGAGAGAGAGACAGACCTCGTGTAGACCAGGCGAGGTAGTTAACATCTCATAGCCACCGTGATGATGAGAGAGAGAGACAGACCTCCTGTATACCAGGCGAGGTAGTTAACATCTCATAGCCACCGTGATGATGATGATGAGAGAGAGCCACAGACCTCCTGTACACCAGGCGAGGTAGTTAACATCTCATGGCCACCGTGATGATGATGAGAGAGAGGCACAGACCTCCTGTAGACCAGGCGAGGTAGTTAACATCTCATAGCCACCGTGATGATGATGATGATGAGTGAGAGAGACACGCAGACTCCAAGTGTACAGCAGCAGCAGGTGTGAGGGTCGGCATTGAACCCACGACCCTCTGCATACCAGGCGAGGTAATTAACATCTCGCCACCGTGATGATGATGATGATGAGTGAGAGAGACACGCAGACTCCAAGTATACAGCAGCAGCAGCAGATATCGTCAGGGTCGGCATCGTACCCACGACCTCCTGCATACCGGGCGAGGTAGTGAACATCAAGCGGAAATAGCTCGCTGCCAATTACGGGTGCATTAATTTACTCAGCGTCTCCACGCTCACGCAAGCAATGGACGAGGTGGGGGGTGGGGGGGGTGTGGGAACATTCCACATTCCTGTGACCGAGAGCACCACGCCGCGCACACCACACCCTCGTGACGTGCACAATTGTTTTTGCTCTCCCCCCCCTCCCCCCCGCTCCTTCGTTTGCGACGTCGTCGCCTTTACCATGGGAGAGCTCCGCTCAGTGTCCCCCCCTCCCCCCCCCCCCCGCTGCGCTGCTCCTTCTCATACAAACGGTTCCCCCCCTCCGGTTTTTGATGATTTGGTGGGGGGGGGGCGCCCGGTGACCCGGTGACCCGGTGACCCAGTGACCCGGTGACCCGCGAGTGCCGGAGTCGCCGCTACCACGATGCAAGCAGGAAACAAAGGGTCGTGGCCGTAGCGCCCAGCGGCTTCCTGATATTGGAAGTGAGCGACGAAGGACGAAGGAGCGTTCCAGACGGGCCGCGGCAGCGCGTCCGAAGGCGCCGCGCGACGACGACCACCACCACCACCACCGTGTTTGTTCGACAGTTACGCAGAGGATGAGCGGAGTGTCGCGCGATGGTGCCTTCAACGCTCGTCGGCGAGGTCGGCGAGGTCGGCGAGGTGCCGCAGTTCATTTGTGGCGAGCACTTTGCGCGCGCGCGCGTGATGTAGCGTGCGACCGTGTCGGTGGTGAACTTGATTTTTTGTTTTGGCATGCTGTTACCAATAACTTTAACGATGAAGATATTATTGAAAGGCTCGGCCGTTGTGCCGCGTGGCGGTGATGTCCGTCGGAGCGTTGTTACGGCACGGGCAGTCGCGTTTTTGCTATTTTATTTTTTTTTCTGCTAATAAAGCGTCGGGGCCCGTCAGCCGCCTGGAAGGTGCGTTTCAGCAAGTATTTTTTTTTATCTTTTCACGACTGAAGGGGGGGAGGCTTTGTTTTGTCGGGGTTCCATCGCGTGAAGATGCGGTGTGTGTCGCAAACCCGGACCACCTGACACGGCCCCATTCGGTGAGGTTTGTGTCTCAGCGGAACAACACGCGGCCAAATTAGTGGCTACGTCAGCCCACACCGGTTGCGTCGTGGAGAGGAAAAGCCCACTGCAACATTTGCAATTTGAGTTACTGGACCAAAAATGTT